CCGGGCTGCAGATGAACGCTGAGATTACACAATGCACCGTTTGTCAGGAAGTGGCAGGAGGCCGTTTCGTTTAGGCTGGGTGTGTGAGGCCGCCTGTCCACATTACAGCTGTCAAATCAGATTCTGCTTTTCTTTTCTCACATGCTTTCCAATGCTTTAGTTTAGGTTAAAAGAATTATACTAACAAGCCGTATACTAACACACATAAGACAATGGGGTCTTTGAATGGCAAACCGCAAACATTGATTTACATTGTCTGGTTTTTTTTTTTCAGTTAATGCATTTTTATCATAATACAATTTGCAAAAACTGTTTTTATTTCTTTCTGTGGTCTGTTGTCAACAGTGTTCAGTCATGTGCAGAATCAAAAACACAGACTGAAAACTGGCTAAAAATGAACCTTTGGATATGTATTTATTATTGCTACAAACCCTACAAAACCGTCATGCCTTTCTCCACTGTTGAGACTAATATGCCACCACTTTTTGCTTCTATGGGGCTTTTTCAAAATGACACAAAAAAAAAAAAATTCCTTTGCGCACGCGATAGCGGCACTAGCCCCATTCATTCATCGAGCGCATTCTAAAGTCCACAGCGGCAAAACTAGAGTGGTCCAAAAAACATTACCCCCCTCAGCATTGACACACAACTGGAACGACATACAAAAGCATTGGGTAATTCTTATTCTGGGTACACCCCCCCCCCCACCACGGAGTGAGATTGCAAGCATGTCAGCGCACAGCACAACAACACACAAACAAGGGGACAATATCTATAATTGAATTGGTTATAATTACAATAATTTCTCAAGGAGGTTATTTTACCAAAGATAATGTTGCAGTTTTCAGAATGCAAATGACTGTATGTAGGAGGAGCACAAGCAGTCATGTTCTTAAGTGGATGTATTTTCTGACTTGTGATTTGATTATAGAATCTCTAGTCAATCTCAGAGTCAAATCCACTCAGGGATAATAAAGTGTACCTACCTTCGCCTACTCATACGATAATGAGATATTCAGAATGAGCACGGATGCAGAGGTATAATCGCACCTTGTCTGCCTCCCATCTCTTGAATGCTCCTGTTTATAGTTCAGGGCTTCTCGTCGAGCAGAGAGTGTGAAGAACTGTCCGCAGTCTGTGGCAACACGTTTTCAAGGCAGGGTTGAATATAGCTCTATAGCGGACAATGAATCATCTGCCCTGCTGCATCTGTACAGTCTACACAGCAGCGAGTCCAAAATCCTCTATTGAAATCCATCTCTGACCTTCCCTACAATGAATAAGATGCGCACAAACCAGGCCTGACACATTTGTGCCCTGGTCTCTGCTTTGAGGATCAAACAAAAGCACTGCACACCGGAGAAGCTGTGTTTATGAGTACAGATGCCGCAACAGCTTGAAATCAGCAGAGGGAGCGGCCAGTCGTCCCCGGTAATAGCCGTCATGTCAGCACAAACTCTCTCCAAAGTAACATCGGAGCAGAATAATAGCGGAGAAGGATTTTTGGCCTAAGTCTATACGCTGCACCTGTTCTGAGTGAGCGTGCCAGCTTCTAACGCAGGGATCAGCGTGCCAATGTCATTAACTGATCCAGCTAATTTGATGGATTAAACAAAAGTAACAGAGGGATTTTAAAGAGAAGCAAAATACATTCTTGATCACGTTTTCAGAGATACTAATTGTTTTGGTAATTACTTTCAGCGCAGATCTGAATTTGACTTCATAATGTGTGAAGTCTCCAGGCTATCATTATTTCACTCTTAGTACTAACAAAATCATCATCGTGATCATCATCATCGGGCGGAAAGAAAATGGGAACAACGTGTTTCGTAATATATAAACAAGTAGTACACACCATTTTTTATCTTAGTTTATATTAGAGTGCATTCTGACTGTTTCAAGAACTGTTGCTTTATTTTCTTATTCCAAGGGAGAAATTTGTTGTCTTTTTAAAACAAGGTAATTTTGCTTGTCCTATTGTCCAATCTTGTTTCAAGGCAGTCAGAATGTGCTCAAGTTAAGAATATTTTTTTAGCAATGTTTGACTTAATAAACACCACTTTTTGCAGTGCAGTGAAACATTTGACAGTTTTGTTTTAAATGGCCCATAAAAAATAAAAAACCTTTGGCTAAAAAACCTATAATATTTTGCATAAGTAAGAACTAAACCTGTGTGTCACTTTTTGGATTATATCTTTCGGCTGAGACCTGATTGGCTGGGTGAGGGGGGTCTCCTCTTTTTAATTTTTTTGCCTGAAAAGCTGATCTAAAGATATGAGGCCAAAATGATGTGTATCAGAAATCTAGTGATAGAAGCAAATTGTTTTGAGAGCGATTCCCTTAATTACACTGAGGCGATATTGGCTGACTGTTAGGGTTCGATTGTGGGTTCAATTCTGTGTTGGCCCAATTATTTTTGTGTGTGGAGTTTGCATGTTTCTCCCCGTGTCTGGGTGGGTTTCCTCCAGGTTCTCTGGTTACCCCCATCACTCAAAACACGCACTGAAGGTTATATCCTCCAGCTCTGGTCCTGATCAAGCCGAGCATCAGCAACAAAGTCCAGTAAAGTATCACTGAGGAAAGGGTCAAGACCAAGTCAGAGGCAATAAAGTGTAACTCAATGGTTTCCTCTTAAAGGTCAGTTTTACAAAGTGCCCACATAGCAGCAGATTAGTGAGCTTAATATATATTTATATTTATATTCACTGGCTCTGTAGGAACAATATCAGAGTTACTTTTGGTTCATCAAGAATGTAAATAACCGGATGGAGCAGTCCTCTAAAGTAGTCAATTTCTTTCTTTTGTCCAGTCATATCTAGACACTTCTTTTACCCCATACTCCTCAGCATTAATCTCAAATACGTGCATGATTGAGGAGCTAAATGAAAACAAAAGCTGGTGTTTTTGTTTTAATTCAGGGCAAAAATACCTGTGCAACCTTACTAAAGACCTAATTGAAAGCCTAAAAGGTTATATGTTTCGGGAGTCAGGTACACTTTTATCTTATTCAAGGAACCTTCTAATCTTTAAGCATAAATGAAGACTTAATGAATGTTTTAAAATTAAGGTCCCCATTGTCAAACTTCAGAAAAAGGTTAGATACTTAAAGATAAATCAGTCAAAGGGAGATTCAACGCTTTTGTTCAAAGTCTTGCCATTTTTTTTTCCGTCGGCTTCCTCCTGCATAAATCTATCGGACACAAGGCCAGGTTTCACGGTCTTGCCTTTTTTGGACCGTGCTGCTATTTTAGGTCAAATGCTTTGCCTCAGGAGATCCAAAGTGCAATATTTAAGGTGCCCATTTATCACAGCAGCTCGGAGAATATAAGACCTTACATTTTGCCACCAAGTCCTCCCGCGTCCCCAGGCGAACGCGTGCCTTTTATGGAGGTTTTTACCTGCGTGAATGACTGCGGCGAGGGCAGGAGAGAGAGAGGGAGAGAGTAGGAGAGAGCGAGAGAGAGAGAGAGAGAGGGAGAGAGGGAGAGAGAGAGTGGGAGAGAGCGAGAGAGAGAGAGGCCCTGTTTCACTTATTTAGCGTCTTCCTTTGTTGGCAATTTGTGAAGGATTTCCAGTGAGCGCAGAAAGTTCAGAGCATGGCTTTAGAAATCTCAAGTGTTTTTACACATGCAGATCAAAAGTAACAGGAGCAGAGATGAAGCTTTACTCCGTCGACGTGAGAGTATAAAAGATGCAAGAACGCAGCTCAGAATCCTTCAGTAAAAGGATAAAAGGAAAATTATGTCGCTGAAAAATTGTAAGTACCTAAGATTTAATTTTGCAGCTTAAAACTCAACATTTGTACATGGTTTTGTTTTATATTAGGGCTGTTTTTTGTTTTAATCGATTAGTTATTTAGAGCCAGAAAGTTTTGTTGGATAATAATTCTGCATTTGACCAAAACAAAGTGATTCCCCTGAAGAACATCTTCATACAGATAACTTACACATTGTTGTTGGGTTGTTGATAAGAAATACAGGTGGAGCCACTAGTAAGCAGGGCAGGGCCTGGTTAGTACTGTGATGGGAGACTTCTGGGAAGAACGTGTGCCGCAGTAAGCAGGGCCTGCAGACGGGTTGCCTCGCTTCTGTCAGTCTGTCCAAGGGCAACTGTGGCTTTAGTAGGAGTTTTTTGCCGCCAAATGGAGTGAATGAATAAGGCTGTGAAGCTTCTTTGAGGATAAAAAAAATCTCTAGATTAAACCTACACATTATTATAAAACATATTTAATTATGCAGTCATTATTGAATAACACCTGAAATAAATGATTAGTTGTGATTAATCACAACCCTATTTTATAATATAAAATATCCCTATTTTATGTAAACATGTTGTTATTATTGTTTTATTGTTTTGCAACATATTTTTTTTCCTATTTTATAATAGGAGAAATCCTCTGGCTCTGGTCCTGACCAAGCCGAGCATCAACATCTGGAGATGTGTCCCTGGCCGCTGCACCTCTGCTGACAGAGGCCATAGTGGCAGTGGAGCATACGGCTCAAACGCTGAGGACAAAGTTCCCTACGGGGAAAATAAAGTGTACTTTTACATGGACACAATTGACTATAAATAGGGAGTTTGCAAGGACAGAGACTTGAATTAAGACACTTGAATTATGGCACTGAAATTATGTTACACTTTGCCCAAGTCAAGCAAATTTGAAGTTATATTTTGCCATTTTTTGTAGTGCACATTACAAAAGGAAGTAATTCTGTATCATCTGGAAATACATGTTCCGTAGCACATAAAGCAAAGAAATCCTCCTCCCTATCACAAGCATTTCCAACACTTTACCCCAGTCCTTTGAGAGTTGTAGTCGGGGAGAATCGCAGGCCAAGCAGAGTCGGGTCCCTGTGGAGCGCTAGTGCCTCTGGTTTTGCCTGTGCATGCGGGCTTGAAGGACTCCTCCATCAGCGTGAAATATCGCTTTCCCCAGTCAAAAAAGAGCTGTAATAATTTAGCCAAATCCTTGTGTGCATGGACAGCGGAGATAGCAGCAGATGCACCTAATTGATCGCTACATGCTGATCCCACTGAGCGTGCTGAAGGGGGTGTGCTGGTGGGGGGCCATGGGGAGCATATGGTGAGGCAGAGATGGAACTCAGGGCCCAGTGCATGTTCCCCTCCGCTGACCACCTGACTATTTCAATCATCTCTCTGGAAGGAGACTGGAGGAAAATTCACAGATATACCACACGATTTATTACCCTCAAATTATTGTTGCTAATTATTTACAACTGTGTAACTTTCTGTAGGTCACACGCTGTAATTCCTCCAACTGAAGATGTGTGTGTGTGTGTGTGTGTGTGTGTGTGTGTGTGTGTGTGTGTGTGTGTGTGTGTGTGTGTGTGTGTGTGTGTGTGTGTGTGTGTGTGTGTGTGTGTGTGTGTGTGTGTGTGTGTGTGTGTGTGTGTGTGTGTGTGTGTGTGTGTGTGTGTGTGTGTGTGTGCGTACGTGTGTGTGTTTAACGGCAGCATTGTGCAAAAACTACTGTACAAATCATGTTGGTGGGGTATGAGTTCTCCGAGTACACTTTCAAGTTTGTAATGTAAATTTGAGTCCATGTTTATTCACATCCATTCACAAGAATAACTGTTTTCACTTTCTAAAACATAAAAGGCCAAAGCAGCAAAGGGAATTTGTTCATAAGCTTAGCTTGTTCGGGGTTAGAGGTAACTCACATTTACGCATAATAATAAATGTCCCTCTCATACAGAGAAGCTATTTTGTTTATAGACAGATTTAGCAGTGAATGTAAACTGTTGTAATCCTTTTTCGATGCACCATTTACAGCCTTTTTCTCATCAATATTTAAAACAGTGTTGTTTTAACAATCAGTCCCTTCAGGATTTTGCAATTGTTACTAATGATTTCCCTCACTCCGGCACTAACCCATCAGAGGAGGAAGACACACAACACTGCAAGAACCTATAAAAAATAAGTCAACAATTGCTAAATTTGACTAAATATACAACTTGTAAATGGGACAAGAAATATTATCTTGTTACACAATGTAAGCAATGTCTTCCTTGGAATGAGGAAATAAGACTAAATGGCTTTGTCCCGTTGGCAAATCTTGTTTTAAGATAAAAAATCACTTAATTCAAACAATTATAGTTTTAAAAATCTTCTTCTGCAGTGAACTAACTCCATGAAAGCGGCTTTGGCACATGGCTCGTTTGTCCATAAAGCCTAAAACCATAAACCATAAAATTACGCATTTTTTAATTAAACCACACATTCATGTATTCAGAATTGCAACAATAACAGAAAATACCTGTGAAATCCTGGAGGGACTGAACCTCTTGCTGACATACTGTATATCTTACTATATCCCCATTTATTTACTAACATGTGAACTGGCCTTCTGTCTCGCCAGCGAAAATGTCCATTTGTGACATCTGAATATCCAATTTAAACATGTGCTGGATTCTTCTCTGAGCGGATGCACGGCTTCTGCTCAGTGAATACGGGGGAACGGAGCTCTGCATTTATGGCACAGCTGATAAGAAGCATCTGAGCAAATGGGGGAAATGTGTTTTCCTTTGCGTTTTGACCTTTGGAGAAAAAAACTGCAGCTCTCATACGGCTGAAAAGATGCTGTCTGGTGGAAATGATGAATGACTCCTCTGACAAATATCCAACATATTTCCACACGTGCGTTTGACGACCTGCTTTAGAGTCACGCCGCTGTGTGTTTCTGTGCAGAGATCAGACCACCGCCTTCGTTTGCAGGTTTATGCGAGGTTTTTACAGCTTTCATTCAGCGGAGGTCGAGTGGTGGTGGTTTTATCGGAACATAAAGGCAATCCAGAGGTGTAAAAAGTGTAAAAAGTGACCTCCGGGGATCCAGAACGCAATATGAGACAATTGTTTTGGACAGATTTGTTAAGACATTGGAAAGACAAGAGGCAAGACATATGTGACCAGATGTACCTTTACCGGGATAGTTTCAAAAGTTTCAAGGAGGGATCAGACTTTTGCAAACCAATTTTTTACCAATAGTAAGGAGATTTAAACATTTTCTACACCAAAGTAAAAACCTAGCTTGAAAATGATCCCAACTGTTTTTAGGCGTTATGGTCAAACACATGTCTTCATTCAACTCATCTTTTGACTATTTTAAGAATATCTTTTTTGTTTATTATATGTTGGTATCTTTTTCTGTGTATGATTTGTAAATTGAGTTTTAAATTCATGCTTCAAGATTGGTTTAAAAGATTGTAAATCTTAAGACTAATTATTTGTCCCACTTGTGTTGTAGGTTAAACATTTACAATTGAATCTTTAGAGTGATTAGTCAGTATGGAGAGACAAGACAGACACAGGAAATGCATCAAATAAGTTTATTGATTTGGTTTGTTTGGCGCATGGACCTTGAGTCTTATGACCGCCGGGTCCAGGCACTGGTGCTGCCATGAGGAAAGAGTCGAGTTGAGAGTGTAAACCTGAAGGACCAGAGAAGGAGGCGGGAGGTGGTGGTGGCAAGAGCCGGAAGAATTAGTTGGAGGGTAGTTTCTGCTTTTAAATTGCAGGTTTGATTGGCATGGGTGGGCAGGGAATGGAATAAGTTAATGAGCTATAAGTCCTGGATGAGATGGGACTGCAGCAGGTAGTCTACCAGACTGAACTTCCACCTTCCTTTTTGGATAATTAGATTTAAAATTATGTTTTCATGTACAGTGTGTCATATAGTAGCCCTTTATTAACCTCTCACTATCTCAATGTTATAAAGTAAAAATCTCTCAGCCCAAAGTCTCAAACAACATGCTGAGGTTTTAATAGTTTTGCAAAATGTCACTTAATTTATTTGAAACAAAACACGTCACCGGTACATACAGATCTTGAATCAACTTAAAAAAAATAAACTTGTTCTGCCGTCGGAGAAAGCATGTGAACCTCAATGTGGCCAATCTTGGATTAAATATTCTCTAAAAATATTGTTTTGGCTCAATATTGAGATTTTGAATTCACCAACTGTAATACTCGTAGGCGCTATTTTATTACTACATAACAGTTTTAACCACCACGAAATGACGCACTGTTTTTAAGATTCACTGAAATGGATATAAATATAGTATATATATTTAAATAAGTCAAGGCCACACACTGCTACATAATAGAAAGTTATGACCATGCATAAAACATACAGCTCCCTATAAAAAAGTGATGATGTTTAGCACTCTCATCTCCTTCCACTACGCACTTCTCCGTCCTTGTGATGAAACAAAGCTAACATAATGTTTACTTTGCTTCCCCGTTATCCAGACCCACGACCGGCTGTAAATGACAGCTATAAATTAAGATGTGAAGTGTTCAGTGGAGAAAGGCGTCCGTAGATTTGTCGTCTCCGTCACGTAACGGTGAGGAGGTTGTTGTGCCGAGCCGGACAACACTGTGCTCTGGTTATTGGGATGCAGCGTGGACATTAAGATTAAGAGATCTTTTATTCATCTAGCAATGGGGAAATTTCAGTGTTGCATGACCAGTGACAGAACAGTATGAATGAGGAGCACACAGCACAAGAACAATGACTCTATACTAAAATAAAAATTAAACTTTAGCATAATAAAGAAGAAAGTATAAAATCACTAGCTTAAACATATTGAAGAAGCAAGTCTAAAATCTCCAACTTTAGCATAATGAAGGAGCAAGTGAACATGTAAGACCCCGCTCCCATCTTTTACTTTCTAGTAGGAAAGTAGGAAATTATTTGTAACCTAAGGCCCCGTTTAGACGGAGACGCTGCGGCAGTAAAAGTGGATAGTTGGGTGTTGGTTGCCACCTCCTGTTCCCATGGAGACTGTGTTCAGGTGAAAACTTAAGCGTTAAGAACCAGCCCTTCACACCAGCGTGACGACACAAAAGGGTGAATTCTCTGCCTGCTATGAACCCCACTTCCCCGCACGAACATTTGGACATGCGCAGTAGCCGAGAACAAACGTAAACAACAATGGTGGTGAGTACACTAACTAGCTACATGTGCTTCGAGCGCTACTCGGAGGAGAATTCTACTCCTTCGTCCAAACGAAGCCATGCAAAGCTGCAGTTTCAGTTTCCATTTTTGCAGCTGCTGTTAAATGCAGAATGTTATTTATCCATTCTTTCACGTCTTTGCGGCACTGGAGGAGCATGTTGTTGAGGAAGTGAGTTGCCCACTACAGACCGGGCGCCAGAACTATGTTGTTTTCACTCCTCATTTAAATGCTGCACAGGAGCCTGGTCGTTTTTGTCAATTGTTTTGCAAAGTCTGTGCAGCGCCTCCGTCTAAACGGGCCCTCGGAGATTAGGCAGAAAACACACCTCACCCCCCAGAGAGTGGGAAAACTGATAAATGAAGCCTTTGAACAAGATCTGAAATACCACCAGTTGTTACACAAAACATTGAAAATGACTATTACTAAGGTACATTTTTCTATTTAGTTTTGGGGGATAGCGAGCTGCTTCACTCACCCTTGTGTCTCCGATCTCTCCCTTCCACTTTGCTGTTGAAGGTAACAGTAACTACATTGCTGTAACCGGTGCTATTTGAACAATTTTAAAGAAAGTGCTTTAAGTGCTACATTAGCCTTAACCTTTAAACAATCCAGAGTCCTTGAAACTTCCACAAGACCACATCTCGTATCATTAGAGTGCTTCGATCCTTTTTCCCATGGTTCTGCCCTAAACTTCTAAACCCCTTTCAAATGGCACTTATAGTCGGTTCATTACATTTATAGGTGGCGTGCACTCTTCTAAAAGTGCGCACATGTGTCTCTGTCGCGGAGCCGGCTCTCTGCACGGGTGAGTCCATTAATAAGGCGTTAAACAGTGGGAGGTGGGTCTGGCTGATTGATGGCGTGGGCCGTATGCTAATGCAGCCTGCAGTGCATCGGCGGCGGCGAGCTCCCATCTGCAGGTGTACCAGCTCCACGCTCCAGCCTCCACACTCATGTCAAGTTCTGCCAACTTTAGTTTGAAGAGCCAAGTCACTGCCAAACATGCAGAGACTAGAGGAAGAGTTTGGAGTTTCACACGAAGAAATGAAACCTGGATGTGGCGGGGGTTATTCTTGAATAGATGGAACAAAGTTACAGTTTCAACAACGCTGTGTGCTTTTTTCATGGATGAATTGTACTGAATTTAAAGACAATTATAGTTATAGATGTAAATGTTTTGAATTAGGTTGAAATGGTTATTATTTAGATTCTGAATTAAGAGATTCTCTATTTGTCTCACAGTGGGGAAATTCCAGTGTTGCATCACCGGTTACAGAACAGGAGGATTGAGGAGCACATAACACAAGATAAATGAACAATAACTCTGTACTAAAATAAATTACAGTCTGTAACTTAAGCATAAAAAGGAAGCAAGTCTAAAATCTCCATCTTTAGTATAATGAAGAAGCAGGATTTAAGTAAAGTATATTCCTATGAAGAAAAGCTTGGGTTTCTAACTTTGGGCGACAGTGGCTCAGATGGTTGAGCATTGCATCATTGAGAGGCCGGGGCTCTGTGTACTGGGTGCAGCCCAGAAATGGATTAAGGGGAAGAAAATGGATGGATGGAAAAATTCCTATGGATAAGTTAAAAGCTTGGGTTTCTAACTTGTTTCTCTTCCACATTACACGTGTAGTTTGTCCAACAGAAAGAGTATTGTAAAAGTAAACTTTTGTGAACAAATCAAACCACAACAGGTTGAATATATGGTAGAAAATGGTATTGTATCCTTTTGTAATATCAGGTCATGTCGTGTCATTTTCTACCCCTTTATTAATCAATTTCTGCATTGGGGTGGCAATCAGAAGTCAACCCAAGTCTCATAGCACCAGTCCCTCGCTGAGCCTCCTGCAGGTGATGGGTCCACGGGAAGATGGCTTCTCCGTCATCGACGAGATGGCCTTGGTCTTTCAGCGGGGGCTTCGAGCAATGTGGGGTTAAGTGTGACCATTAGGTCCAAAGACCAATGCTCTACCAACTGAGCTCTACCAATGTCGCCCCATGGTATCTTTTGCATTCTTGAACGCTGACCGTCTTTTATGACTGTCCAAAAAAATAATTAATGATTGAATTCATTATTTTATTGTTGTAACATGTACAGACATACTGTATATGTTATCATGCTATAGTTAGAGATTTTATTTTATTCCTGATGTTCTGTACCTGATGATGCAACGCTGAACTTTCCCCACCGTGGGACAAATACAGGATCTCTTAATCTTAATCTATTAATTGCTGGTTTATATACAACACACAATGTATTTTTCTCAATTTTATTACCAAGTATATTGACAAAAACAAAAGGAAAAGCGTAGACAATACAATAGACCCAGCTCCATTATTTTACCAAGTCAAAGCTTTTGTTTTACATTGTTTTCCCGGTCCCCAGAATGTTCCTACATCCATATAACTTACTTTGTACTATATTAGTCTACAGTTCTTGTACATATACTCCTACATTTTCGCAGAAAGATACAGCATTTGAATTCAGCATTTTGTTGTTGTCATATGTTTTACTTAATCTTCAAAAGAATAAAGTGGACGTTTAATGAGAACAAGCATGAATAACCGTCACATCAAACTGAAGTACAAGACGGGGACGGACGTGATGGGACTCATTTGCAATGCTCACTGTAGCGCGGATGCATTATGTGAGCTCTCATTGCTTCTAATTGGCACATTTACATTTTTACTAAACATTAACTTTTTGATCTTACACATAATAAATTATTGCCCATAAGCTGCAATAGTTACTTTATCTTAATCTAAATCCGATTTGCACGGAAGAACGACACACTAGAAGAAATGCAAGAGGCTTTTCTATATGATTTTTCCATGATCTTACATTTCCAGGGCCTGAAACTTTCTGACACATGATATTTAAAACTTGATGACCTCTATATACTAATAACTACATACTGTCGCGGAGACCCGAGCTGCAGCCTGTGTCCTGCGGTGAGGTTAATTCATCATGGAGCTGGCAGGACATGCTGACTTTTACATAAGCTATTTGTCTCTGTTCATAGTCAAGGTGGGGGACTGGAGCTAAGTTCTTGTCAAGGTGGAAGCAACAATTTAGCAGGAAAATACAATAGATCACAGGGTATTGTCCGAACTACAGTCAAGGCTTACTCATTATTGTTAAACTGTGCCTCTTTGGGCCACGTGTCAGGGCTCAGCGGTTCAAGATGTTACATGCTTCCTTCTGCTACATTGTGTCTTGCAGTATCAATATTGTAACACACTTCCGGCAAAGTGTCTTGCCCAAGGACACAGCGGCAGCAGATATCAGTGGAGAAAGTCTTGTGAGGGGCTCAGAGGCCACTGCTCTACCAACTGAGCCACTGTCGCTTCATATTATGTCTCAAAAGTTTTGTATGTTAATTTACCACATTCCATCCGGAAAACCCACTGTTTTGTTAGTAGCAACCCCACTATTATTAGTTGCTCCCACTCATGCTTTGTGCTAGCTAATGCCAAATACAACAAACGGCTCCTGATTGGTCAGTTGTTTGGGCTTATAACTGGATTTTTGAAGACATAGAGGAGCCAGAGTCAATAGGAGCCTAAGTGAATAGGTGCAAAACCCTGTCAATGAGCATTTCCCTATTCATTGAGCTAGGGGCCGATCTCGTGGATTTTTAGATTTTCTCGCTCACAAGTATAACACTCACAACTTTCATTTATTTTCCACGGCTGACTCTGCTAAATTATGTATCTTACCAAGTTAAATCTCTAACAAATAAGTACTTCATTTGTCAAGACAAATCTACTGAACACATATTGTTCACTTAAACATTCTTCAGACACAGATTTCTCTTTTGTTTACCTCAGTTCAAGACAAAGGTTGATATGAATTGTGATTCAATCTATAATAATCACAGAAACAATACACTGTTGTTTTGCCAAATGTGAACTTTAAAACTAGATACTCATTTATATAACTAACATTTATGTGTATAAAGTGTGCAGTCTTGAGAAGAGGACAGTATGAATCCATTTGAAGGAGTCTTCCTCTGGCGTCTAGAGAGATTAGTTGTTATGACTGAAGTAGGTAGGTACGGATGGTCTGCACATCCCTTTGAAACCTGGCTCAGTATTTGTTCTTTTTGTCTGCTATTAGATCATATTTACAGTGGACTGGGAACATTAAATGAAATAATAACCTTTCAGACCACTAACTTTTAATTGATAGATTTTAGATAGATTGTCTTTATTGATCCCCATACAAGAAATTCAGGTGTCCAGCTGCAGAAACACATCCATCCATCACAAATACTTACAAACAAGTTACTAACAATAGTTAAAAAGTGCAATAGATTAATGATTGAATTTCATTTCTCCGTATTGCTCCTATAACTATACATATTCTCATTAGAGCTGTCAGAGTGACACAGCTCTGAGCCATGACCCTCAGAAGTGCTTTTCTGGTGACGCTTTTGCTCCAGTCGCTGTCAGCGTGGAAAACAGGGGACAGATGGGGCTCAGGGCTGTCAGTCACAGGTCCCAGACAGAGATGGGCATCAGCAGCCGGACTTCAACTCCCACCAATGTCCCGCCAGACCCACCCGTCAACATCAGGATTATGTGTTGAAGTTTCACAGAGGGAATGGAAAGAGTCGATCGAGGTTAAATGTTATATATCATGGGGAAATAAACTTTGTAAAGTTCAATTAAATTTATTTTGTTTAGCCCTAAATCGCAAAAGTTGTTATCTCAGAGGACTTTATAAAACCGACAAACTCTCCAACACGGATCAGAGATTAAAACCCTTCAAAGACAAGAAATGCATTGATAAAAAACACAGTCATTGGCGCATAAGGGACGAATGACTAACATACGTTGATAAAGTCCATAAATCTTAACATTATAGCACAAAGTTGTGGAGAATGTATCCTGCACATGGTTTGTAGATCATTACAGCTGTCTTGTTTCTGTGAACATGGAGTTACTCTGTGTCCTTGTGTCGCACTCAGCATCCTGGACTTCAACACTTACATAAAGGCCGTGTCCTGGATGGTTGAGATTACAAGATCCATGATTTTGATCTTCCACTTTATCCAGGGCTGGTTCACAGAGGCAGCAGTCTGAGCAGAGACCCAGACTTCCCGCTACATGCACACGTCCTCCAGGTCCTGGTATGGTCCCAGGCCAGCTGAGTGACATAGTCCTAGGTCTTACCCCGGCGCATTCTTTTGTTGGGACAGCCTTCATTCAATAGCCTACAGTCAAGGCTTACTCATTATTGTTAAACTGTGCCTCTTTGGGCCACGTGTCAGGGCTCAGCGGTTCAAGATGTTACATGCTTCCTTCTGCTACAGTGTGTCTTGCAGTATCAATATTGTAACACACTTCCGGCAAAGTGTCTTGCCCAAGGACACTCAATGGGCCGATACAGCTATATTCCCAATCTCATAGCTTTGGGACTGGCTTGAAAGTTCAAGATTCAGTCTATTTGCCATTTGCAGTAAAACCACATTGGAATTACTGTGCAAGACTACCCCTGGACTGTATGAATGTCCGAACTGGAACGCAGACCACCAGGAAACAGTTGATGTTATTATACCCCACATTTATTTGTAGTTGGTTCTATTAGTTTACTGTGGCGACAGTGGCTCTGTTGGTAGAGCATTGGAACTTGAATAATCAAGGCTCCTGTAGACTCACCATCTGCAAGAGGATCAGTGAGGGGCTGGTGCTCTGTGTAGTGGCTGCTCTGACTGCCACCCCCCGACCCAGAAATAGATTAAGGGGAGAAAATCGATGGATGGATGGATTCTATATGTAGGGTTATGTCTCAGTCAATGCAGTATAAAATGGTAAAATGGTAAACAATACGCAAGATTCATAAACACAAGGGTGTAGGTTTGCATGGGGACTGTGGGGAACATATAACATAATGTCCTGGGCCGAATCCACCAACTTCAGTTTATTCTAGAGCAGCAACGGCAGCAGCAGCAGCATGTGAGCCGCTCATCTCTGCGCACTGATATGCACAGAGGTCATACATGCACTTGTTGACAACATAGTGAGGGGCCAAGTTCTGAGTAGCAAACTATTTTTTACCTTCTAAAAATAAAGACCGACTCGTACTTCTTTCTGAAAAGCGATTGTGTTATATTTTTTCTCTGTATGGCAAAAGAAGAAGGCCAAGGTTTCTGCCGGAATTATGTATTATTTATTTATGAGGGCTATAGTGAGTGTCATCATCCTACATTTGCACGGTCTGTGGTCCAGTGGTTAGGATTTGTGGTTCATTTCTGGTAAGAACGTGATTGTTTTCCTTTTATTTAAATTTGTGTCCCCACAAAAGGTGAAACCAAACCCACGCCATTGCATAAACAATATCACTTACGTAACAGAAACAAAAGACATATAGCCAACAAAAAATGGGCTATAAACAGAAACGCCTACTTCAAGTGTCTCTCAAGTTTGGGTGAGTCCTCCTGCTCCTCGCTCTGTGAAAATGCGACATTGCTCAACATTTACTGTAGTTTGTGAAAACCCCAGTTATTGAGACAGTACACAAGGAGACTAGCATTCAAAATATGTGTCATCTGCAGAGCGGCTGGGTGCTGGGCTCTGGTTAGATTGCTGCTCCTCCATATTCAGAGGAGCCATGTGAGGTGGTTGATTGATGGGCCTGTTTTGGAAGTCTCCTGTACACTTCCCAGGGGATGACTTGAAAATAATGACACTATATTTTTGTCAAATTAGTTCAGATGACTCCACGCTGTTGAAAGGATGTAGACGACAATTTAATTTTGAAGCGAGCATCCCCGGGGAATCGAACTCGACAACGCTTCCAAATCCCACTGCTAGACCAAATTGATACTATAGTGCTCAAAAACATTTAAAATGCCACTACTGCTGTCTTTACTAATCTACTATGATCATCTTCACTTTAATTCAAGCATCACAAGGTCAGTCAGGAGAACGCATCAATAATTCAAAAACTGACTCAATGTTACTACTTGAATAAACATTTATCTTGCAACTTCTCTCGTTTACTGAGTCGGCAATCTCTTCATGACATCAGGATAGCTTGACTCAGACACTCATTCTAATTATTCCAAAGCCCTAGCTTTAATTGCCTTAATATATTGGTTCTTTGTCTCTCTTATCTTGATTGCGTCATGACGTCTATTTCCTCGTAATTGATTGGAAAGGAGATGTAATCGGGTGTTGGCGTGTGGGCCTGGTATTGATAGCTGGAGTTTAAAGCCCTGACAGTTTCGCGGCACTCATTGTCTGTGCTAATTACAGCCGGGTTGATCTATTGTCAGTGGCAGCGCTGGGGAGAAGAGGGCGAACTATTCTCGTCTTGTTGTGTTTTTGACAAGGGAACCCCACCTCGCTCGCCAACTTCTGCCTGGCATCAGAGTGGCTGTTGGCGTGGCTCAGTTTTCGAACTGCAAATGAGAAAAACCAGGACAATAGTGGAGATTATATCAGCCTCTTTTCAGTTTATTTGCAGCTCATGGAATGCAATGTGAGTGCTATCAAGAGCTGATGAAATAGGAGAGGTACACCGGAAATGAAATGAGGAATGTTGCAAAGTTGGCCACTTTCAAATGCGCAGAACTTGTATTAGCAACTTGCACACTGTGACTTTATATCTTCTGCTGACTATTGTGACTATTGTGCTTCTTTATTTTTATACTAGGGTTTCTATGTTCATCTAATTTCTTCTACTTTTTGTCATGACATTCACCTTGAAAAACCATTATTGGTTTTGCCATGTTTTGGGCACGCTTAAGGTACGTTTTACATATACATTTGCACCATCTACAATACCTTTCCCACTAGAAAGCACTACCAAAGGAGTGTTTACTATTTAACCAGTGACCGAAGACGCTTTGGGACAGAAGGTTTTACATTTTTCTGACCTCACCGTCCGGTTGCATGTCCTACAGTATATGAGACATTGTTAATAGAATAGTAATAGAATTGTTGACCACATTTGGACCTGGTTTAGTAAATGTGGTACTCCATACAATAAATATCCATCTGGTATTTGGTGGTGATGATCCAGTCCCACTAGACATTCAACAACATGTATGGACTTTATCAACATTTATGGACATTGGTCATATGCCCCTTATGGACCAATGTGTTTGAATGGTTTGATTCTCTGTGTTTTTGCGAATCAACTCTTTTGTAAAATCCCCTGAGATAACTATTGTTGTGATTTAGGGCTATACAAACATAATTTGAAATTAATTGAATCATTTGGTGTGAAAAGTTTGAGATGCACTCCATTAGTTGGTCACTGCTTTCTTTGTTGTAAAGACAAGTTGGGGATTGAGCTCTACTAATCAATAATTTTCTTCACTTTTCTCTGTGGTAGGACAAGTTCAATGGCGGCGGTGGTCTGGTGGACATGGTGCTTGCCTCTGCTGGCTCTGACCGCGGTGGACTGCAACAGGGAGAACTTCGGGTCACCAGGCTATCGGCCACTCGTGCGATTCCGACATAAGGTACTATGTACTCTTTGTTTTCACCAGGCAGTGTAGATAGTTCAATTCACCCCACTACTATTAGTTGCTCCCACTCATGCTTCGTGCTAGCTAATGCCAAATACAACAAACGGCTCCTGATTGGTCAGTTGTTTGGGCTTATAGATTTTTGAAGACATAGAGGCGCTAGAGTCAATTGGAGCCTAAGTGAATAGACGCAAAACCCTGTCAATGAGCACGTCCCTATTCATTGAGCTAGGGGCCAATCCTGTGGATTTTTAGATTTTCTCGCTCACAAGTATAACACCTCATAACTGTAATTTATTTTCAACAGCTGACTCTGCTAAATTATGTATCTTGCCGAGTTAAATCTCTTACAAATAAGTACTTCATTTGTCAAGACAAATCTACTGAACACATTTTGTTCACTTAAACATTCTTCAGACACAGATTTCTCTATTGTTTACCTCTGTTCTAGCCTGGTCGTACCACACCATAGTACACATTGCATTTCGTACTAAGGTCTGTGGATGCTCCATTGAGCTCCGTTTACAAGTGGGAGGGGTTAACTCCTTTTGCAGACTGAAACGATTGGATCTGAGTTTACCGTGACTTTTTTAATGCGCCCGAGTCTGTTGTTAGCATTTAGCATTTAGCCTAGCCATCTCCTTTGCTGCTAACGGAGCCCGCGGGGAGTAGCGTCACAATTTATAGCGATTACATTTGCTAAACATTCCTCTTGCTCCGGCTTCAAATTCTTGATAGAAGCAGACCGGATTACTTTATTATCACATTTTTCGCCATTGCCAAACTACAACCTGCCCGTTCGACGCAAACTCTTGACATCACCCACAACTAACTACAACACCTGCCTTCCGCGCTCTCTGAATGGTCGGTCGAAATTCAACCGATTGTATTTGCTAACACAGGGACTAGACCCAGACGTTACATGCAGGGAAATGATGATTGAGCGGAGTGTACGGATTGCTAAGGCCAGGCTACCTCTGTTCAAGTAATCACAGAAAAAATACACTGTTGTTTTGTCAAATGTGAACTTTAAAACTAGATACTAATTTATATAACTAACATTTATATGTATAAAGCGTGCAGTCTTGAGTAGAGGACAGTATGAATCCATTTGAAGGAGTCTTTCTCTGGCGTCTAGACATTTTTTATTAGTTGTTATGACTGAAGTCGGTAGGTACGGACAGTCTGCACATCCCTTTGAAACCTGGCTCAGTATTTGTTCTTTTTGTCTGCTATTAAATTATAGATACAGTGGACTGGGAACACTAAATGAAATAATAACCACTAACTTTTAATTTATAGATTTTAGATAGATTGCCTTTATTTACTTCTCATGACAAATACAGGTTTGAAAAGGAGTTGGAGGAATCAGACGCTTAACCTCACCCATTCAACAAAATAATAAACAGAGTACAATGTAAATCATTCAACATACAGTACATACAGTAATATACCATACCCTACTTTAAGGTATGAGACACAACAAAAAACCAAACAAAAAAACCCAAACACACACTTTCTGCAGGAGGCTGTCTGGTTACTCTATTACTCGTCTTGTTGTCACTATTGTCATGGTCAAAAGAATGTGATTAATGTTATTAATAAATTTGACAAGAATTCAGTAAACCATTTTTCATGTCCGATTCCGATCTCTATAGACTTTCAATATCTGCTGACACCCGATATGAATACAAGAGAGCAACTCCCATCAGTGGCTGAGAGGTTAGCACTCTTGTTTCTCAGCAGGAAAGCCTTGGTCAGAACTGGAGCCTGAGTGGAATTTACTTGTGTCTGTGTTGGGTTTCCTTTGGTGCTCCTGTTTACCTATACCCATAAAAACAAGTACAGAAGGTACAATCCTCCAGTAATTCTTCGGTAGTCCTGAGTAAGCCGTTCATAAATAAAATGTTATTGATTTTATAAATTCCGTCACTGCCTACACATTTTAACTTTGAGGCCTTCCTCAGGACGTAAAGGCGGTTGGCAATAGACAAGCATTTGAATATGAGTATAATAGTTAGAGTGCTTCGCAATCGAAATCTCTTAAATGATGCATCTGATTATGATCCTGAAGAGCGCCTGGTACATCCATCTGCATCCTGATGATGTAATTGTTGACTGTCTATCACTCGTCTCCTCCAGAGAAAGAAGCCCATTCCAACTTCCCCCCTGGCGTGTCTCTGCCCCTTGTTTATGTGGCCTCTGTAAAGGACTTGATGATTCATTAACCCCCCCTCTGGGCCAGGGAGGCGCAGCACGGCCAGGCTTAGGTGAAGATGTTTGCACGGCAATTTAAAAGGGAAAAGAGATAAGTGAGAGGACACAAACTCTTGAGAAGGCGCGTGTCCCAAGAGCACATTCTCAAACACTTTTATTAATCGCTGCAGCGTCAAGGAACAGGTTTGTTTCCAAGCAATTTCAACGCTGTTAAGATCAGAGCGACGAGCATACGGAGTCTCGACACAACCGTGAGCAGTTCGGGAGCAGGAGTGGTTCTTATTCAGGGACTTTCTTCATTAAAATGCACCATAGACATGTTTCGACGTAACAGCAATATTATCCTCATTATTCATTTTAGTTGTTAATTATTTGCTTGCGTGGATGTCATACTTAAATCCAAGTTGTATTTTTCAAATTGTAATCATAATTTGGCCTTTTTTTCTACATACAATATCCGACACTCACGTCCCACCCCTCAAGCCCTGACCCCGCAAAAAATAACCCCCCATAAATGATTAAATCCATGTCACTAGTAGCAGTGGCAGGCAGATAATGCATGAAATACTACAATTCCCCAGGTTTTTTTTTTTTTTTTATGTCATAAATAAGCTGTTTATCATTCATAGTTACGTGTGTAGTTTTTTATTCCAATGTCAAGGCTTTTTAGATTATACTGTAAGTGTGTATCTGAAATATTTATACATTTAATAAATTATATAATAAACACTTCTTTGTGCTCTCGTAAGCACAACAAGTATGACTTATTTTCATGATTCTGCCATGGGATGTGTGGTACCTTTCTGTGGTTATTAGTTTGCATAATTTAAAATGAAACTGGCAGAATTGATCAATAAGGCGATGAAAGCGGTGCCCTTCTCTGCAGGACATTTTCCAAACTCTGAGCGTGTTCAGGCCAGGTGCTTCATTGGAAAAACCTTATATCAGTAAAATAAAGAATAATAATGTCAACCTTCAGTCCCAGTGGGGGCAGGTCCCGGCTCTTAAAGGTTCATGAGCATTTGGACTGACATGTTCACAATACCACCCCGGGCCGGTGGGGGTGTACCCGGAAAGAGAAATATCCTATACTTTTGACTTCAAAAACGTCTTTACAGGATGGTCCAAAAGTCGGCTCATGGCCCAACGCTACGCTCCAGATGTGTGTCAATGCTGAGGGGAGTAAAGTTTTTTGGACAAGTCTAGTTAAGCCGCTGTGGCCTTCAGATGCATGCATGCCGGCTGATGCATGCGAAAATGCGCAATTTTTTTTCTCACATTTTTCTGCCCCGCGGCCATTTTGAAAAAGCCCATAGAAAGCAAAAGTGATGACCCATTAGTTTCAACAGCCAGAGATAGGTTTGACTACATTCGTTAATATTTACAGTCAATGTTCAGGCATCACTCCCATCTCTGTGTGGAGTGAGAGGACAAATGCCCAAAAATAACAATTGTAAACCGCTTTGTGACTCTGGTCTGTGAAAGGCGGTATATAAATAAAGATTACTTACTTACTTACTTACTCAAATGCCCACAACAATTGTAAAGCGCATTGGTCTCGGAAAGGTGCCTATATAACTACAGATATCGTACTCACTTACTTACTTACAAGTCGAAAGTAACTTCATACTACTTCTCACTTAGATCCCCAATGGCACACTTTTATGTTGAAACTGGTAAACCTGGGCTTTGCAGATAAATGGTGGTATTATTTTTGAAATGTACAAAGTAGCGGCAATAGGTAGATCTTGGTTTCTGGGTGAGAGAAATTGATTGTGGAACAATACTGTGTCCGTGTCATGGTATGGGCTGTTGTCTGATAATTTCACTTTCACAGTTTATTTGTGCCAACTGAAAATGGGTTGATGCTTGAGCCAGTCACATAACACAAGCTTATATTTGGAACTGACAATTCCAATAAAACATTTGCCAAGGCTGCTCTTGTTTGTTCTGAATTGCTGAGATATTTCCAGGTAATCAACACAACTCGATGTGCCATTAATGCACTAACATTACAAACTATTGGACAAGATGCGTGCTCATTCCTGATCTCATGAAGCTGCACAAAGGTTTTCTCACCAGTGCGTTGTTTGCAGCAGGAACACAAAAGCCAAAATCAGGCTGAGTCCTGGATACTGCGCAGAGGAGCAGATGGCCCGGACGTCATTGGTCTCCGTCCGCAGTGAGTGAGGAGGCTGCAGCCGCGCTAAGCTGCTCCACTGCCCCTGTGGTCACTGCACTGACCTTTCAGAAGACTTTACACAGCAGTAATGTCCTCCAGCCGCGTGTGGACACAGACGCACCACTAAATTCTATTGTGTCTGAAATCCCGGCATATTTGTGACCAGAACAATTTGAACTAACGTCAGAATATTCAATATGAAACCACATCTGTCCACTGTCACTTTACTTTGTCACTTTGTCTCATACCCTCATGCTGCAGTACTTTATATTTGCTTTTTAGTCAGAGATGTTATACTTCATTCCTGCTTCTTTATTAAGCTAAAATTGAATATTTTAGACTTGCTTCTTTATTACGCAAAAGCTACGATGCAAAAAAAGAAATTGCTAAAATCAGTGTTGCTTTATTTTCTTGTATCTTTTTAAGTAGAGCTGCAACTAACGATTATTTTGTAATCGATAAATCTATTGATTATTTTTACGATTAATCGAGTAATCGCTTGGCTGTGAATTGTGTAGAAATGTTTTATTTTTTCATCACAAAAAGCTAAAGTGGCAACACTCGAGGATGTATTGATGGCGTAAACTTAAAGTA